GTGTGTATATTATATGGTTTATATATAATGTGTGTTCCCCAACACACATTATATATAAACCATATAATATACACAGTAGTTATATAAACCATATAATATACACAGTAGTGGGGTAGTGGGGAACACACATTAGGTGTGTATATTATATGGTTTATATATAATGTGTGTTCCCCACTACTGTGTAGGATATAACTCACCATGACGACTGCTAAAGGGTTAACTCACTGGCTATTGTTGAATAGTAATAACAAGTGAAATACTAACATCATAAATAAACTCAATTAATTGTGTACCAGTTTAACGTTGAATATTATTTATGATTTTAACTTTATACACGAGTGCCAAAATACTATTTGAAAGTATTGTTTTATGTAAATAGATGTGGACTTTTCCAGCCTAATAATAATTAATTCGTTGGTTCTTCGTCTTACTGCCGTAACTTAAACATTTACATAAACATCGTAAATATACACACATCGTACAATTTATATATAATATATATGTTAGTGAATCAGGTTTTTGTTATTATACTCGTCTGCGTCAAAGCTACAAATTTTCGAATTTCTCGCGCTTATTTGTTCACCTGTTTAACTGTGAATTGATTATTGAAATGTGAAGTAGGTCAGTGATAACGTTATATATTAACACCGTAATAAAAGCTTATACAAACGGCCCTTTGTTTTGGAAGACCACGTGAAATTGAATTAATTCGTTTAACAGTTTTCACGGAGTTAAATCTCTTCAATTCATTTTTATCTCTTACCTGACTTGTGTGATCCAGAGTCGAAACTTTTAACGAGGCCGCCCCGTTTAAGACACACTCACATTCGTTTTTCTAGTTGTTGTAAGACGAACGTTTTTTCACTGTCATAAGTTAATTAGCGAACTGCCGTCTTAGACCAACAGGTTTGTCTTCTCCAACACTGCTAATAGTAATACCGTCACTTGTGAAACGGAAGCGCGATTCGTATTTCGTAATACTTGTGATGACGTCATCGTGTGGTGGGTGTTTGGCCACTACGTCAGACGTAACGAAAGTATAACTTGGTCGTTATGGTGATTTTGTACCCTTGCGCAACTTCCAACACCACCTGGCACAGCTGTTCAATATTAAAAATTCCACCGAGTTTTGTGTTGATGTCTGCGTACCTTTATTGTGCACAAGTGTTCGGAGCTTGTTGACCTATTTAATACGATTTAGGTCAGTGTAGTCCCGAGTTAACGGAATTATTTAAGGATATGTTTTCTAAAATTCAAAAGGTGAGTAGAAATTACTTGTGATTTGTATCTGGCCTGGTGAACCTGTTAAAGTTCATTTTGGAAAACTAAGTAAACAACAAACCTAGTTTACGTGAGAAACACTCAATGCAACGGCGTCTAGAATTCTATCCTGCTCAGAAAGAGAAAAATTAGGAAGTACAGTGTAAACGTTACACTTTTTTCACTGCCTCTTTGTTTACTCTTGACTATTGGAGGTGCAAAATAAATAAATCATGTTAAAGCTATGATAATTGATAGTTATCTAAGCTTACGAGTCCAAGATGTATTGATAGGCTGGAAATAAAAGTTTCCCGCATGTAATTGATTACTAAACAGAACTTTTGTTCACCAGTTCCTCGATGAAAAGTTTGTGTAAAGTTCATTACTTTAGTGGTAGGTATTTGTGAGGTGAAGCTTTTATGTGATCACTTCTTTAACTTACAAACATGTGACTTTCAAGATTTTATAGAAAAGCTATTGTCATTTGAATCCAAAATTTGTTTCTAATGAATGTAAAACATTTGACTCGAAAACCAGTTGTATCGTCTTTGTTTGTTTACATTTTTTTTTGTAGGGGAGGGGAAGATATGTAATCAAAATTTTTAACTCATGTTGTTATTGAATAATGTTCCTTTTCCCCTATGTTTCTAAACATATGCGTTTTCCATAATACAGCTTTTGTCTTTGTTCATAGAAAGTTTTAGATACACTTAGAACTTAAATAAAATTTGTACAGGTGAAATTAAATTTTGGAAAAAATGATATTTTGAAAAATGAGAGTTTCTGTAAATTGAAGTTAGCAAGGGAGTTTAATGAAGTAATATTGTGAAGAAATTAACGAACTTAAAGCATCTTATATATAAAGGCCCGGCATGACCAGATGGTTAGGGCGCTCGACTCGCAATCTGAGGGTTGCGGGTTCGAATCCCCATCATACCAAACATGCTCCACCTTTCAGCTGTGGGGAGCATTATAATGTCACGATCAATCCCACTATTCATTGGTAAAAGAGTAGCCCAAGAGTTGGTGGTGGGTGGTGATGACTAGCTGCCTTCCCTCTAGTCTTACACTGCTAAATTAGGGACGGCTAGCACAGATAGCCCTCGTGTAGCTTTGCATGAAATTCAAAACAAACCAAACCAAACTTATATATAAAAAAGTTTAATATTTAATTTTAAGATTTTATTAAAGAAAACTCGTAACTTACATCAAAATATAGCGAGTATTTATTGTGTTTATCTTTTATTTTTTAAAATAGGTGTATTGTACCATCACGGAATGTGCATGTGATTCATGAGAAAAGACCCGTAGCCTTTCCAAAGCCCTTATCAGTCACTTATGATAAGGAAACCATCAATGGTAATGATAGTCTTCCTGAACTAGGGAACAAGGACCAGGTACCGCCCATAATCTCACCTGCTAGTGATACCAGCTTAAATCTATCAGACAAACATTTTCAAAATGTTGAAGATACTCTAAGTAATAGAGATAGGGATAGATCAAGTTTTCTTGATAAAAGTTTCATTAAATGTATTCGAAAGAAAACTCCCAAATGGAGGTGCAGTAAATGTCAGTCCTTGAATTGGGAAACATGTTCTGTATGTATGGTTTGTGCATCTCATCAAAATGAGAGTTTAGGAGAAAGGTCAGGTTCTGTTGAAGATAGTTGTGTAGACGATAAAGCTTTCAGTGATAGGCCAGGCTCTGTTGAAGATAGTTTTGAAGATGATAAAGCTCAAAAGGAACAGACTTCGGTAACCACATTTATAGAGGCGAGTGTTTCGTGTTCTCAGACTTCCTTTAGGGGACTTGAAGTTGATCAAAATGTTAACAGATCAACTGCACCAATACCTTTGGAGTCTAATGATTCTCATCAGATCATAGAATCTGTGCAAAACTGTGGTCCTGTAAATCATCAGATCATAGAATCTGTGCAAAACTGTGGTCCTGGAAATCGAGACTTTGAATTTCATTCTCTAACCTCAGATACTGCATCTCCCAAACATCTTCCAAAAATAGAGTCAAAGTGGAAATGTGATATTTGTCACTTTCTAAACATTCCCTCCACAAATCACTGTATAGTTTGTCAAAATTCTAGAACATTTCAATCAGAAGAAGTAAACAGAGAAGAAGTATCGTCTGCTCCAGGATTACGTAACGAACTGAAGGTGAGCTCTCCTAAAAGGCAACGTTCGTTTTCTGATCGTATTAAAGCTAAGCTGTTCCGTCAGTCTTCAGAAGGCTCAACAGAAGTCAATAGCAACACAAAAAGAACTCTTGTGGCAAATTCTCACTCTGCAGAAGATGTTATGACAGTCAACAGTGACCAACAGTTATCGTGGGTTTGTAAATCTTGTACATATGAAAATAATTCAGTTGCAGAATGTTGTGAGATTTGTGATGCTACTAGAGTTGTTAACATTCCAACCTCCATTAAGCTCAGGAATTCCTTTAGTTTAGGTTTCTTGACAGATCTGAGGCCTCGAACTACAACAAACAGCACCCAGCAGCCTCCAGCTACAAGAAAATCTAACAACTGTTTAAAAAGTAAGTCGTTATCTGAAGTTTGTACCACAGAGTGTTTCACAAATAGCCCAGTATTAAAACATAGACCTAACGGGACTCTTGAGGCATCAAATACAGACAAGCATTTGATTGTTGACCTAACAGAAGAACTTCCTCATGAGGGAGAAATGTCCACTTCTCTTACATCTGATTCTTCCTGGCCACAGAGTTCTCACTCTAGTATAACAGGTGGTAATCAGCGAACCTTTTCTAATAGTAACCAGGAGATGAATGTGCGGTTAAGCCAGGTGTTGGGAGTGGCTATTATTGACAGATGGACCTGCATTCGCTGTACTCTTATAAATCCTTCCACAGACAATATCTGTAGTGCTTGTGGAGGGTCAAAAGTGAACAGCACAACAGATCGTCAGTTCCGAACCTTAAAACCCAAGGAAAGCTGGGCTTGTTTGAGGTGTACTCTCCGGAATCCTAAAAGTGCTCCTGAATGTGCAGCATGTAGCTATCAGCGAGAGACTCTTGATAATTCTCACCAGCCAAACACTGCAACGCTTCGCTATGGCAGTGTACGGAGTGTCCGAGAAGGGTGTTCAGATGGGTGGGACTGTTCGGCCTGTACGTACCGTAACAGTGGAGGACATGTGGTGTGTGAAATATGTCATTCCTCCCGTAGTCTCTTGTCACTCAGGCCAGATACTGCACACACTCGAGCTATACCTCAACAGGGAGAGAGTGAACTGATGGAGGAATTGCGTAGGATTGAAGAAGATGAGGCCAGACAGAAATGGGAGGACATTGTTAACTTTTGTAAGCAGGTTAGTCTTTGGTTTTCTTTTATAGTTCATTTTTTGTACAGTGTTTTGAAACTGAAAAAAATTGTATAGCTTGAATGCATTTATAAGTTTTGCATGTACTCAAGATTTCACAGCTCAATATTTCAGCTATGCACTTAGACTTATAAACTGAATTTGAATTTGATACAAGATGACATAACTAAATTTTCCATGATTATTCACTTTATCTTATAAAACAGTATATTTTTTTATGCTGGTGATTGCTTATTTATGTGACATTTAAAGTCAATAACATGTGCCGTACTTTATGCATGTATTGATATTAGTGTGTCGTACTTTATGCACATATTGATATTAGTGTGTTGTGCTTTATGCATGTATTGATATTAGTGTGTCGTACTTTATTCGTGTATTGATATTAGTGTGTCATACTTTATGCATGTATTGATATTTGTGTGTCGTACTTTATGCATGTATTGATATTAGTGTGTCATACTTTATGCACATATTGATATTAGTGTGTTGTGTTTTATACATGTATTGATATTAGTGTGTCGTACTTTATGCATGTATTGATATTAGTGTGTCGTACTTTATGCATGTATTGATATTAGTGTGTTGTACTTTATGCGTGTATTGATATTAGTGTGTTGTGCTTTATGCATGTATTGATATTAGTGTGTCGTACTTTATGCACATATTGATATTAGTGTGTTGTGTTTTATACATGTATTGATATTAGTGTGTCGTACTTTATACATGTATTGATATTAGTGTGTTGTGTTTTATACATGTATTGATATTAGTGTGTTGTACTTTATGCATGTATTGATATTAGTGTGTCATACTTTATGCATGTATTGATATTAGTGTGTTGTACTTTATGCATGTATTGATATTAGTGTGTTGTGTTTTATACATGTATTGATATTAGTGTGTCGTACTTTATACATGTATTGATATTAGTGTGTCGTATAAATAGGTTGAGTTACTTACACTAAACTTAGCTAGAAGTACACATTTGACTTCTGTGTAATATGATAATATATAAATAGATTGAGTTACTTACACTAAACTTAGCTGGAAGTACAGATTGGCTTCTGTGTAATATGATAATATATAAATAGGTTGAGTTACTTACACTAAACTTAGCTGGAAGTACAGATTGGCTTCTGTGTAATATGATAATATATAAATAGTTTAAGTTACTTACACTAAACTTAGCTGGAAGTAAATATTTGACTTCTGTGTAATATGATAATATATAAATAGGTTGAGTTACTTACACTAAACTTAGCTGGAAGTACAGATTGGCTTCTGTGTAATACGATAATATATAAATAGGTAGAGTTACTTACACTAAACTTAGCTGGAAGTACATATTTGACGTCTGTGTAATATGATTGTATAATGAATATAGATGTAAGTAATTTTTTTGACGTAGAACTCATTGTTGCATTGCTAAATACTGTTGAAACCCTGTTTTTTATTTGCTACATCATGACAAATGGCCACGTTCTTGTGATCCCGTACTGGGTTAATCCAGTTTAATTAATGTTTAACTAAATTTCTATTGTTCTCAAGGCTATTTTTGTTCTGTTTAATTGATGTTTAACTAAATTTCTGTTGTTCTCAAGGCTATTTTTGTTCTGATTAATCATTACAGTAGTTATTATTCGTTTCACATTTTAGAATAATGAGCCGTTTGTAGATGACTCTTTTCCACCTGTTCCAAAGTCCTTGTATTATAATCCTGAAGAACCCCGTGAGGAGGGTGAAGCTCATTGGTTGAGACCTCAGGAAATCACCTATGATATAGCAGAAAGCAGGACAAAGTGGGCTGTTTTCCGAACAACTGCTATGCCTTCAGATATAACTCAAGGTTAGACTTGGTTAATCCTATACCATTTCATAATCAATCCAAAGTGTTAAAAATAAATCATTATAATTTTGTAATTTTTTGTTTGCTCGTATGTTGATGTTTTAGCTCCTAGATATCAATAAATAAACTTAAAAAACACCACCTACATCAGTAATATCACAGCTGTCTCAACAGGTTTTTTCAGTGGAAGATCCAAAAGGTTTGGAAGTCTCGTTTTACCAAATCTTGGAAAGAGTTTTCTTTCAGGATATATATATATATATATAGTTATAAACTATATCACATTACTGTTATTAGTCCAGGAT